ATTGTTGAATAGTAAGAAAACGATTTCCATAGTTTCTTACTTAGTAAACTATTTCTCACATCTGTAAGCCCTTCAGTGCATGATGTTTTCAAAACCTTCTGGTCATCTGTAAGCCCTTCAGTGCATGATGTGTTTTCAAAACCTTCAGGTCATCTGTAAGCCCTTCAGTGCATAATGTTTTCAAAACCTTCGGGTCATCTGTAAGCCCTTCAGTGCATGATGTTTTCAAAACCTTCGGGTCATCTGTAAGCCCTTCAGTGCATGATGTTTTCAAAACCTTCGAGTTATCTATAAGCCCTTCAGTGCATGATGTTTTCAAAATCTTTGGGTCATCTATAAGCCCTTCAGTGCATGATGTTTTCAAAATCTTTGGGTCATCTGTAAGCCCTTCAGTGCATGATGTTTTTAAAACCTTCGGGTTATCTGTAAGCCCTTCAGTGCATGATGTTTTCAAAACCTTCGGGTCATCTGTAAGCCCTTCAGCGTATGATGTTTTCAAAACCTTTGGGTCATCTGTAAGCCCTTCAGTGCATGATGTTTTCAAAACCTTTGGGTCATCTGTAAGCCCTACAGTGCAGGATGTTTTCAAAAAGCCTTCGGGAGCTTTTTGATATTTAAAGCCTCCGGGTCATCTGTAAGACCTACAGTGCAAGATGATAAGACCTCAAAGTCATCCATAAGACCTACAGTGCAGGATGTTTTCAAATGAGATTTTAAGAACCTGATTTTCAAAGGTTTCTTGATCTTAAATCTTTCGGGTCATCTGTAAGACCTTCAGTACAAGATGATATGACCTCTGGACAGAATGTTTTCAATATTTCCATCATACTCAAAAGAAGCCAAATGAAAAAATTATTGTCTTTTTCGTCTTTGCTCTATTCTTGTTAACACAAGAATAAGCAAAGAGGTGCAGTTGTAGACAATAATTTTTTCCATTTTTAAATTTATTATTATTATTATTATTATTATTATATATTATTATTATTAAATAAAAAATTATATTACAAGCCCATATCCCGGGAGCCCATTTACATATCAGAACCCAGGCCCAGTTTACAAGCCCAACCTGGTCCAGGCCCAAGACTGACCCAAACCCTTCTAGGGTTTGTATCATCTCATCTAGGGTTTATAAACCCTAGCCCCAGCCGTCGCCTCAAGCTTCCAGAAGCCCGCCGCCGCTCATTGTCGGCACTCCACTACCAGGTGACCCAACCCGCTACAGCCACGAAGCCACCGTCTCGACGAAGCCTCCAGAAACGCCACGAAGCCCCCCACGTTGAAGCCCTATGGTGAGTCACCACCATAGCTATGGTGATTCACCGAGGGTCATTCCTTTAACCAGTCCGAGGAAGATACTGTGGTAGCTATAAAAGCCACCACCGAACATGCGAAGAAAAAAAAAACAAATCGACAGCAACCAACACCAACAAAAAAAAAACAGGAACTAACAACCACAAAGGAGAAGCAACACAACAACTCCAAACCAAGAAACAACAAGCAAAACAACAAAAAAGAGGAGAAAAAGAGCGACTTACCCTCGGAGAACTCAAACACCGCCGAAAATCCTTGTAAAAATCGAGGTAAAACCTTCGTTTATCGCTTAGATGTAGGCTGATTGGCAATTTTTTAGGAAAAAGGGCTTCGAAATAGGCTTTAGGGTGATCGGGGCTTTGATTTGGGGTAGGTTTACAAATTCCGGCCACAGTGAGTGTGGCCGACGGTGGCTATCGCCACCAGAGCGTGGTGGCCGGCCGAGATCGATTTCTCTCCGGTGGGAAATTGAGAGAGATGAGAGAAAAAAAAATTTCTCTCTGTTAGAGAGAGAAAAAAAATAAATGAGAAAATGGCTTAGGGGGGAACCGGTTATAGGGTATTTATACCCAATATGAAACGACGTCGTTTCAGGGTGTAACTGTGCGTTTTGGTAAACCCCGTCCGTAACCCTTCAGGTTTTATAAACTTTCATTTTAGTCACTCGTATCATACTTTTAATTATTTTATTTTGTTCTTGCATTTTATCCTATTATATTTTAGTCCCTAAGATATATATGTTTATATTTTTAGAGTAAATAACTGATTTAGTCCCTTATCATTTAATTAATATTTATTTTAACCCGATTAATTAATAAAGATAAATTACACTATTAATAATTATATTTTATAATATTTCGAATTATGTACATTAATTTAGATAATTTATATTTTAATATTATAAGTTTTTAATTCATTTTATTATGGTCATTTTATTGCAATTTTATTTCTATTTTTTATTATTGTACTTTATTTTTCAATATATTTAAAGTAGTATTTTATTTTAATTATTGTTTAATTATTATTTTAGTCATGCATATATATATATATATATATATATATATATATATATATATATATACATATGAAAGATTTGTAAATATTATTTAATAAATTTCACAAATTAATAGTATTTATTTATTGTTTAATATCAAAGAAAGGGAAGTCTTAATATAACTAGATATCCTATTCTAATATTTTAAAAATAAATAAATATCATACTTATAAAAACCAGAAAATACATATTTTTTTATTTAAATTATTTTCTTAGAAAAAATTATTATTTTAAATATTTATATATATTTCAAATATTAAGAAAGAGCAGTATTAAAGCAACTAAATGTCATTTTCTGATGTTTTAAATAAATAAATATTTTATTTATATAATTTATAAAAATTATTTAATATCTTTTTCTTCCTTAGAATTATCCGATTAAAATTCGAAATAATAGGATCATAAAGTAAATTTATATTCGAATTCTTAAATTCTAATATTAGAGACAATTTATAATTGACAATGACCAATTTTGGGTCTTGTGGGGGTGTTAATTCTTCCCCAAACATAATCGACCACGAATATTTTTTTATTATTAAAAAAACGATTTTTTGGTTAAACGCAGACCAATTTATCTTTTAACTGATGTTTTCTTAAAAACTCTTTTAAAAGATGATTTTTAGGTATTCGACTAATTTAATCCAAAAGACCGATGGCGACTTCCAAAACATTTCAATAAAAATCATTTATCCATATTATTTTTTTCGTCAAGTAAAAATTTATACCTGGACGATAACCAGTTACGACAACTACAAGCTGAGATTATAGATAAAAAAGATACAAAAGTTGGTTGCATCTCTCTTTCAAATCTCATTCTAAAAATGGAACTTATGCATCTAGCTGTAAACCCACTTCGTGATAATCTTGAAATTAAAGAATTCCAGGACATCAAATCTTTAATCAGGCATTTCATCAAACAAATTATGTGCATCTTCTGGATATCCTAATTTAACATAATTTGCGGCCAACTGGTCACCGATGAATCGATGACGGTAATTCGCAGATTTGATAACTCGAGCATGAATAGCCTGACAGTAGGAGACACGAGAGGAAGAGTTCAAAGCAACAATTAAAGCCGAGACAAGACAGTCTAAATTTAAATGAGAGTGAAGCTGAAGGGAAGAGTTTGATGGAATGACACTGCAAAGACCTTTCGGTTTGAGAAAGAGCGAATTTCGTTTGACCAAGTTGGAGAAAGAGTAAGCTGAACAAAGATCCGCCTTTATCATCTTCCATTATTCAACTTAGATCAATCATCATGGTAAAAACATGTTTCTTTAGTCCAAAAAAGCAAAATTATGAGCAATTCCTAGAATGGTTTAATTCTGGTTTCAGTGTCTCTGTTATGGTTGAAATTAGACTTTAATTTCGATTTAATTATGGTTTTATTGTCTCAACTATGTTGAAATTACACTTTGCTTTAGTTTATTTATGGTTTTAGTGTCTTAATATGTTGAAATTAGACATTAATTGTCCAAAGATCGAATGGATGATTAATAAGAATTTATACAATAATTTAACACTTCATCTATAATTATATGTTTAATAATTTTTTGTAAATATATTTTTAATATTAAGTGTTTCGAGTCTTTGTGTACGTAGAAAATCTACGTGCGAAGACTCACCCACTAAAGTCAGGTGTGCACCCGGGTCAATCCAGATTAGTCAATGTGAAGCCGTGGAACTGGAGGGCAACAAAAAAATGATTTTCACATATCCTAACTATGTGATTGAATAATGATAAAAGTTGTGAATAAAGATTTCATGCTAGGTTGATTAAAATGGAAATTTATCCAATGACAAAAACAAAATTGCAACAACAACAAAATCTTTCGATGATGTAATTAAAAGCTCCTCAAAAGTTAGGTGATCAATTAGATAATTTGCTCTATTTTAACTAAATTAAAATTATCTACTTGTAAATGAAGCAATTGAATTTAATTTAGGGTAATGACTTAGAATAATCATTTTTAAAATATTATTCACATTTTCTCTACTTATAAATGATACATGTTATGCAAAATGATAAAATTGAATGGAAACCTTGTAATACATAGTTGAATAAATAGGGTGTAATTTACATTTTCTCTACTATATTACAACTTCTCTTAATACGAAATACTTTATCTTCATTGTTTCATACTCACATCTTCTGAAGGTGGCAGATCCAAAAAAAAAAATTAAGATGGGTACACATACGTTAATAACATAAAATTTTAAATAGATAGTACAAATATAATTTCAGGATGAGTATCATCTATAAGATAAATAACAAATCGAAGAAAATTCAGATTTCAGGGTGGAGACAAAAAATTTCAAGGTAAATACTATTAAAAAAATAAATGAATAATTAAAAAAAATTAAATTTTAGAATAGACACGTATCCAACCTCGCTAAATTATGACTCCGCCACTGTCTGCCAGTTACATATCGGTGAAATTCTCAAAGCAATTATCAGTGTTTGCTCAAACTCCAGTTTTTCATGTTGTTGGGTTTAATTCTGTGATTCATTGGACCCCAAGCTCTGAAAATGAGCCTTAGTGGGCTGTTGTCCTTAGAGTAAGTAAATGTATGGGTTTTTAAGGCATCCCCTCCGTCTGGAAAACAGTGGCTTTTATAAGTTCAGATCCTGAATTTGTCTACGAAGATCCAGCAAAATAGTGAAAAAGCTATTGCTTTTCAAGCTCCCTCTCTAATACACGACAGAGTTAACTCACCGCGTTGCCCATGGAAGCTCTCAGCTCTCAAGCTGCAGCTATCGTCTCCTCTTCTTTCTCAATCTTCTCTCCTAAACGAAAAGATCCTCCGGCCAGAACCATCCGCTTTCCCACCCCTTCCAAAAGTATTAATTCATTTTAATTCCAATATTTTTATATCTTTCCTCGATTATTATTATCGTTTTGACCCAATTTTCTGTTTTTTTAATTACAGAGAACGGTGACGATTCCGATATCCAACCTGACCCAAACAACAAAAGCATCGTTCCTCTCTTCGGTAATCAAACATTTTCCCAGGTAAAGGCATATAAAGCTGATCTTTTTTCCCCCAAAAAACTTTTAAAGTACAAATTCCTGAATTGGGTTTTGATTTCTGGGTATTTTATGTAATTCAATTTAGGATGCAGCGATGGGTTTGGTTCTAAGCGCGGCGTCTGTAAAAGGTTGGACAACAGGATCGGGCATGGAGGGTCCTTCGGTACCCTCCCGAGCCAATGACCAACCCGGTACGGAGCAAGTCTCCACGTTTCCATGGTCTCTCTTCACCAAGTCGCCGCGTCGACGGATGCGCGTGGCCTTCACTTGCAACGTATGCGGCCAACGAACCACTCGAGCCATCAATCCCCACGCCTACACCGATGGCACCGTATTTGTCCAGGTAAAGCTGTCTAAACTAAGAGAATTGAATTTCAGCATCAAGTTAGGGGGGTTTTTATTTAATTTTTCCTTTAACTCGTGTTGAATGCAGTGCTGTGGATGCAATGTTTTTCACAAGCTGGTGGATAACTTGAATCTGTTTCGTGGGATGAAATGTTATGTCAACCCCAGTTTCGATTATCAAAGGGCTCGCCAGTGGGAAGTGTTCGACGACGATGGCACTGGCAGTGCCGACGTGCTTTGATGACTTATAAAGTGTACAATCTCATTGCACATACTGGGAAGCTGATGTCTATCTTGTTTGTATCGCCCTTTGCCTGTCTTGGTGTGGTTAAATAAGTCGGCTGAACACTTTGTATTTCACCAATGATAAAATAGTGTTCGATGTTATCTAATTATGATCCTTTTCTCTGATGAAAATTCAGCTAAGATATAATTTATTAGAAAGAATTGTAAAAAAAAATAAACGAATTTGTATAAATTTGGTGATTGTCATGCCTAGTTCTTCACATTAAAATAGACCAGGGGCATGAAATTCAAGCCACCCTGTGTTAACACAGGGATGCTTCCGTCATATACAGTCTATATAGGATGAACCAGACTCGCTTCCACCATATTCCCTTGTAGAATTTGTTCCCCGTCCTTCGGTATTGAACTGAACTGAACCCACACAATGAGATGAATATTGTTAAATGGTGAAACTTAGGTAGTAAGAGCACAAGGAAGCGTTGTTCGAGTTCCCGATATCTTCCCACCAAGATCCTGGAAGGTCTCTTGTCCGGTCGAGTGGCTTACTTTTCCGTTGCTATCTACCGCAATGGGGTATTTGAGTAGGTGTCCCTGGATCGGCTTAAAAGCCTCACTTGTATACCTTAACCAGTTCTCCTCTGCGATTTTGTTGACAGTCTTCACACAGTTTAAACTTTCGGGTTCATTAAAGCAGCCATCGATCTTTTCCATGTGCTCGGCCCAGAGTGACATTCTATATCCATAAACCTGGAGGGACATTTTGTTAATCTAATCAACATCACTTCGAATATAAAACAGAGACCGCAAGGGCGAAAGTACAAACCTGACCATGTGGATGTCTCTTCCTCTCACTCCATGTGTAATAAGGTTGATATGCACCCATTGCTATCTCAGTGTCCCTTGACCCGGCCAAAGATCGTTGATTAATATCTCGTCATCTACTATCATTCCCTTAGAATGTACATAAATCATAAACCGTTGGAACTTCTGTGAAGCTGAAATCTGAAAACAATGATTTATCTTTGTATTCTTAGTTCCTTATAAAGCCTTGATTCTTATGAAGTTCTAAAAGTCGATTCGACCGATCCCGTAAAGCTGAAAACAAAGGTGAACTTGTTTTCATTTTAGCTTGGGACCAAGCAAAGGCAACATCAAGTTGTAACAGTCAAACAACTAAGGATATAAACAAAATTAACATGGTAGAGCTACTGTTTGGTTACCGTTTCACCATGGTTAGACTGGGGTGAACTTGGCGTAGAATCTCCGGGAATATCTTCCCTATTACCTGTTGAAAGTCAAAAAATAAATGGCAACATGGACAGCTGGCAACATGGGCGGCTGATTTGATCAAAATTATTAAGCATGATTTTGTTGAAATTGGTAAGGGAAAATTATCCAAAAATCTATTCACGATAGTGAAATAGTAGAAGCTATCCGTAATAGAAGCTATGACAACGAAATTTGATATTGAAAAATTTAATGGGAGAAATTTCTCATTGTGAAAATTGAAGATGAAAGCCATCCTGAGTGTTGAAAACATTTTGATATTTCGATATAACAAATTAAGTTAAATGAATTTTAAGATTGTGCAATAAGGTTTTCTAAGTATATTCGATATAATTATTCGAATATCAAAACATTACTCTAAATCTTTCAAAAATCATTTTTAATCCTTACTCAAGTGTAAAATTAAGTTTTAATCTTAAAACAATTTCAAAAATAATTTTACAAAGTATTTCGAACAATTTCAAAGCCAAAAAAATCCAGATTGCTCAGAGGGAACCGATTCCCCCAAGGGGGTACCGATTCCCCCCTGAATGGTTTGGCTCCGAGAATTCCAGTATGCTCGGAGGGAACCGATTCCCCCCCAGGGGGTACCGATTCCCCCTGTGTAACGGTCGAAATATTTGAATTTTACACTTAGGAAACCGATTCCCCATAGGGGGTACCGATTCCCCCCACGCTCCAAGTTGTTTTATTAATTGTTTTCACACTAAAACGGCTATATTATCTCCTCTAATCATCCCCAACGTTTAGAAGTGATTCAAGGTGTATTTAAGAAAGCTTAGAAGCCATTGATCAACAACAAGAAACATCAAGCAACTAGAATCAAGAGAGAATCAAAGAGAAAGCATCAAACCTCAAGTTTGAGCATTTCAAGCCTATTTTTCATTCAATATTCATTTTACTTTCAAGAACACTTATTGTGCTCAATTGTATTCATTTTTTAGTGTTCTTTTCTTTGTTCTAGAATTGTGCAAACAATCTACCTTGTGAGGATTTACTTGTAAGTTTGCAAATTTGTATTGTTCTCTTTGGGAGAGAGTGTTCTAAAAAATTTGGGGTATAATTCTTGAGGGTTTGTAAGGTTACTCTTTGTCCTCAAAAGAAAGAAAAATTAGTGAATTTGTGAAAAATCCTTAGTGTGGATAACTAAGGTAGTGGACGTAGACTTTGGTTGAGAAATCCGAACCACTCTAAATCGTTGTGCAATTATTTTCAATTTTCTGCAAAAGCTTCCACCAAAACTTTATTGCCAATTCACCCCCTCTTGGCTGATTCCATTAATCGATTAACTCAACAATTGGTATCAGAGCCTAACTCATTTGAATGTTTAATCGCCTCTTGAGTCGATTCGGGAAGAGTTATATCGATAATCAAAGTCATCAATGGCCTCCGCTTCAAACTTCGACTCCGGTCTCGATTTGATGCCCGTCAACAAGCCTCCTTTCTTCAATGGGGCTAAATATGCCTATTGGAAGAATAGAATGATATATTTCATTCAAGCAAGTGACATGGGAGCATGGAATGTCGTAGAAGAATGATACTTCAAGCCTCTCACTCATCCAAGATTATGGAGTGAAGGAGAGACAAAAATGTTCCAGCTCAACTCCAAAGCCATCCATATCATATTTTGTGCTCTTGGACCAGATGAATACGGAAGAGTTTCAACTTGTACAACCGCTAAAGAAATATGGGACAAACTTCAAGTCACTCATGAAGGTACCGATGAGGTAAAGAAATCTAAAATTAGTATTTTAACGCATAGCTATGAAAATTTCAGGATGAAACCAAATGAAGATGTCAAAGCTATGACGGATAGATTTTCAACGATTGTCAATGGTCTCAAATCATATGGAGAGATCATTTCAAATGAAAAGCTTGTGAGGAAGTTAGTCTACTCCCTCCCAAAATCATGGCAATTAAAGAAGACGGCAATCATCGAGTCTAAGGATCTAACATCCTTAACTCTTGAAGAGCTAATCGGTTCACTCCTCACTCATGAAATGATGCTTGAAGATGAGGTGGACCTTGATAAGATTGAAGAGACACCAAAGGAGAAGAAGAAGAAGAAAAACATTGGAGTTGCTCTCAAATCCACAAAAAATGAGAGTGATTCGGATGAAGATGACGACGACGAGGAAATGGCATTGTTTGCCAAACGGTTTAGAAAAATGATGAGACCTTACCGAGGAAGAAAATTCAAACGAAATGAAGGCCTAAAAAATGAACCAAAAGAAAAGGACCCGATCATTTTCTATGAATGCAAAAAGCTAGGGCATGTCAAATATGATTGCCCACAATTAAAGAGGAAGGGTCAATCAAAGAATAAGCACAAGGCTCATGTGGCTATATGGAGCGATGAAGAAGGTTCCGATGAAGAGGAACAAGAAGTAGGAAACTTGTGTTTGATGGCATTTGGGGAAGATTCTAAGGTAACCTCTAACTCATCTGATTTTGATGATTTATCCTATGATGAGCTATTAGAGGAATATAATGGGTTGGCTTTGGATTATGAGAAATTGTTTTTAAAATATAAAAATGATGTTTCAAAATTAAAAAATGAAAATAAACTCATATCCAAAACCAACAACGATCTTGAAAGTAAAATCAAAGATTTGCAAATCAAACTAGAAGAGTTTGAAAAAAAAATTAGATTTGCAAAATTTACTTTCAAAGGTCAATGATGATCATCAAAAGAAAATTGATGATCTTAAAGCTTGTTTTGATAAAGTTGGAACAAAACGTTTTGAAAGTGGAGAAAATTCAAAATCCAACTTTGTTAGAAAAAGTTTTAAAAACTACAATCATAGAGGTCCCCAAAGAACCTCTAATGGAAAAATCGTTAGAAGTATATGGGTTCCTAAGGAGCTCATTACTACTAAAGATAAGGATATCCTACACAAATGGATACCTAAGGGGACTAGGATTTTGGAAACTAATGAATATTGATCCAAAAGAATTTGTGTACCAAAAATTAGAAATTAATCTATGTTTGTAGGAAAAGGAGCATTACTACAAGGCACGGGAAACAAATTCAAACTCATGGTACCTTGATAGTGGATGCTCAAGACACATGACCGGAGACAAAAGCCGGTTCATTAAGCTTAACGCCAAAAATGGATGAGAAGTGACTTTTGGTATGATTCAAAATGTCACATTGAAGGTATTGGTACTATCGGTAATACCTCTTCCATACAAATTAAAAATGTTTTATATGTGAATGAATTAAAGCATAATCTATTGAGTATTAGTCTATTTTGTGATAAAGGATTCAATGTCATGTTTGATATTAATGGTTGTAAAGTCATTGACATTGCATCTAATCATATTATGCTTGTTGGTCATAGAATAGGAAACATATACATGGTGCATTTAGATTCTATTGATATGACTAATTTGTGCCTAGTGGCTAAGGATGAACATGATAGTTGGTTATGGCATAGGAGACTATGACATGCTAGTTTGAGTGTTTTGCAACGGCTAATTCAAGGTGATTTAGTTCGAGGGTTGCCTAAGCTTAAATTTGATAATGATAAAATCTGTGATGCTTGTGCTAAAGGAAAACAAAAGCGAGTTTCTTTTAAATCCATTAATGATGTATCAACTAGTAGAGTATTACAATTGATCCATATAGATCTTTTTGGGCCAACTAGGACTACTAGCTTGGGTGGAAAACAATATGCATTTGTCTTGGTAGATGACTATTCTAGATATACTTGGGTTCTATTTTTAAGTACTAAAGATGAAGCATTAGAACATTTCATCACATTTTCAAAATTAATCCAAAATGAAAAAGGTTACTCTATAACTAGTGTTATGAGTGATCATGGCACTGAATTTGAAAATCTTGGATTTAT